GTTAGAGTGATCAAGAACTTAGTGCCAGTGCAGCACTCCACAGCAATCTCACCTACTGCTTCCTTGATCCTCCCAGAAGAACAGTCCACTAAGGTCCAAGTGAAGTGTTCTGGGCTACCATTTAAGCCCCAGATTTCTTTCTCAGCTTCAGGAAATATGATTGTTTCCCACCTCACTGAGCCCTTCTCCCTGCAGCAAAGCACTGTGGTTAGGATAGAGCAAGAGTGACCTCACTCCCAGAGGGTGTATGCCTGGGTGCTTTCCCAGGTGGATATATGTGCCAGGGAAAGGTGGGAAATTAAGAAACAGAGCTATGGTAATGGATGAGTCAGCTTGGAAGAAGTGTAAAGGTGAGAGGGTGAGCTGTGGCTGAGGGACAGAAAGTGATTTTAAGAATGGAACTGCCTTACAACAAAAAAATGGATGGGACGGTGCTCAGCTCTTTCAAGATTGTCAGGTGCTTCTGTGATTGCTGCCTGCACATAAGATGACCTCTGCTCTGTTTAGACCTCCTGGAGAGAGGAAGGAGTAACAGAAGTGGTCTTACAATACTTCAACCTCTCTCCTTCAAGTTTGCACCAGAGAGTAACTCAATTGATTTGTCAGAGCCCCAGCCAAAAAACTCCTATCCCCGGGGAGGGCAGTGAGCCACCCTGCCCGGCGGGTACGAGCGATTCAATGGCTCTCTCATAAAGACTCTGAACATGTTATTGCCATTCCGGTCGGACCCCGGAAAATATTGGGAAACTTTATCTTTGAGACTGGAGCCCAAACCTCTGCAATCAATAAAAAAACTGCACAACTCCTGGGTGTAAAACCCACCCGGCGCAGGGTCAACTTCACAAGAGTTGATGGTGTGGTAAAAACATGCCCCACTGCAAAGATTAACCTCTGGTTGCCAGGGGAGCAGAGACTGACTAGAACAGAAGTGTTGGTGGGTGCCTCGCGTACTAACGTCCTGGGATTTGACATACTGCGTGGGCGAATGTGGAAATTCCCAGATGGAACTGTGTGGAGTTTTGCAGGACATGGAAAAGGATTAGAGACAGTGAAATCGAGTCTGTTGGAAACTTCCATACCTTTACCTCCCTCTAAAATCATTAATGTTTGGCGATATCCACTGCCTGCTGCTGCACTTGCAGGAATGGACAGGGTGGTATTAGAATTGGAAAAAAGAGGCATCATTAAAAGGACTCATTCGCCTTATAATTCACCGGTGTGGCCAGTAAAGAAGCCAACCGGACAATGGCGTTTCACAGTAGATTACCGAAAGTTAAATGCCAGTACTGCACCCCTGACTGCTGCGGTTCCGAATATTGCCGAGATTGTGACAATGATACAAGGAGCTGCCTATTCTTGGATGGCTGCCTAAGATGTTAAAGACATGTTTTTTATGATTCCCCTCCTAGAGCAGGACAAAGCACGGTTTGCATTCACGTGGAAAGGAGTCCAATATACCTTTAACCGACTTCCACAAGGATATAAACATTCCCCTACCATTGCTCACAATGCTTTGGCTAAGGTCCTGGCCGAGGTCCCTGTTTTACAGGGATGCATAGTATACCGATATGTTGATGACATCCTAATAAGGGGAGAGAACCCAGAAAGTGTAAAAGAAATGATGGAAAATATCCAAAAATCATTACTAGATTACGGATTGGAAATTCTGGACACAAAGTGTCAGAGACCTGCACAAGAAGTTAAATTCCTAGGGGTCTGGTGGATTAAAGGAGCTGCTTCTGTCCCTCCAGATACCCTGAAACAAATTGAACATGGACAAAATCCATCCAGTGTGAAGGAGTTACATCAAGTTCTGGGAAATTTAGGTTATTGGCGTAAACACATCCCTGGCTTTTCCATCATTGCTCACCCTCTCTATAATCTGCTCAAAGAGGGAAAGTCCAGGGAATGGACTGACCAACATACTAGTGCCCTGGAACTGACTGCTCATAAAGGAGCTAAGGTTAGTCCAACAACTTGGTCCTATACACCCAACTGACCCTGTCCATGTAGAATGGGCATGTAGAATGTAGAAATGTCCATGTAGAATGTAGAAAAGGTATGCATGAGACTCCTTGTACCCACAACTTCCTTTGTTCTTCAATAAATGAGTCTTGGAAAAGCCACCTGCTATTCCTGTGTTAATTGCGTGATCGGTGTTCCAAACTGAAATGCATCAATGCTCACCGTGTCACTCTGTTCCTTCGTGGGTTTCCAGGGAACAGATTGGATCTAGAAAAGATCTTGGTGCAATTATGGCTTAGGCCTTTAATTCATTTGGAGCCTGCACCGGACGACCGCTAGTTTGGTTAAGGAGTCAAGTGCATCTGTCACAATCTGCTGCCTTTTGGCACAACAAAGCTGTTGTCACAACAAAGCTGCAATGCCTACAGAAAGCTGTGCTGGTGTGGAAAAGTAAGGAGTGAAATTCCAGCCCAGAAGGCAGAGCTGTCAGTTCAAAGCAGAGAGTAAAAGGCCTCTCCCTTTGTTCCCCTTTTTCTCCTGCACTGGATGAGTCAAGTCCTTACTGGAGGGACTGGCAGGCCAGGGCACCTTGGGCTAGGATAGATGGTCAGTCTCAAAGGTTTTTGCTTTTGCAAAAGGGAAGGCGGCAGCCCATCCACACCTCCTTGCTGTTGGGGAACCCAGGACACATCTCCCACCACACCAGTGGGACACACCCCGCTGCTCACTACCAATGAGCAAGCTCACTACCCTGGGCTTCAGGAGAGCTGGCTTTGGCCTCTCAAGGGATCTGCTTTGCAGAGTAACATGGGATAAAGGCCTGGAGAGAAGAGGAGCCCAAGAAAGCTGGTTGATCTTCAAGGATCACCTCCTCCAAGCTCAGGAGTGATGCACCCCGACAAAGACAAAGTCAGGTGAGAATGCCAGGAGGCCTGCATGTATGGCCAAGGAGCTCCTGGACAAGCTCAAACACAAAAATTTTTAAAGAAGTGTCGTGGTTTCAGCTCAGAGAGCAACTGAGCACCACAGAGCCGATCGCTCCCGCTTTCCGCCCCAGCGCTGAGAAAGGAGAAAATAAGAAGTGGCTTCAACAGGGGGACACGACAGGGACGGATGAATCACCCATTACTGTCACAGGCAAGAGACAGGCTTCTTGTGAGAAGAAAAAAAGAACATAAATTTAATACAGACATTAACAACAACAACACTTGACAGAGTAGGGGACAGTGAGAAGCACCACCACATCTTGAAAACACCTCCCCCCACAGCCCTCTCTTCTTCCCGGTCTCAGCTCTGCTCCCGATATCTCTACCTCCTCCCCACAGCGGCGCAGGGGGCAGGGAATGGGAGGTGCAGTCAATGCTGATGCTTCTTCCATCTCTGAAAGGTGGAACTTCTTCCCCCTGCTCCAGCGTGATCCACCTCTCACAGGAGTCTGTCGTCCACAAACTTTCTCCAACTTGAGTCTCTCCCACGGGCTGCAGCTTTTCCCTAGCTTCTCCGGTGTGGGACACTAACTTTCTCCAACTTGAGTCTCTACCACGGGATGCTCCTGGGAGTCCCTCCCATGGGTGGCAGGGTGCGGGCTGCCCTGCCATCTCACCAGAGGATACGGGGGGGGGTCTCTGCAGTGGTGCACCTCCCCCCAACCTTTTCTCCTCCGTTCCTCCACTGACTTCATATAGATGTGGCAACTCCTCGTCACAAGTCCAACTCCTCCTCCCAAGTCCCCTTCTTAAATACGTTATTGCAGAGGTGCAGCTAATTGTGACAGTGGCCTTGGTGCAGCGGTGGGTCCGACTTAGAGCCGGGGGAGCTTCGAGAAGCTTCTCACAGGGGGCCACCGCTGTATCCCCCTCCCTTGCTACCAAAAACCCCACCACTCACTCAAACCCAGGACAAAAGGAAAGAAGGAAGACCTGGGAAACTACAGGCCGTTCAGTCTCAACTCTGTGCCCGGCAGGATCATGGGGTAGAATTTCCTGAAAACTCTGCTAGGGCACGTGGAAGATAAGAAGAAGACTGGTGATGACCAACATGGCTCCACTAAGGGCAAATCGTGCCTGACGAGCTTGGTGGCCTTCAACGATGGGGTTACAGTGCTTGTGGACAAGGGAAGAGCAACTGACGTCATTCAACTGGGCTTGTGCAAAGCTTTTGACACTGTCCCACATGACATCCTTGGCTCTAAATCAGAGAGACAGGGATTTGACGGGTGGACCACTCGGCGCATCAGGGATTGGCCTGATGGTCACACTCAAAGAGTTGAGGTCAAGAGCTCGATGTCCAAGTGGAGAGCAGCGATGAGCGGCGTTCCTCAGGGGTGGGTGTTGAGACCAGTGCTGCTTGACATCTTTGTTGGAGACATGGACAGCGTGATTGAGTGTGCCCTCAGCAAGTCTGTCAATGCCATCAAGCTGTGTGGTGTGGTCAAGACGCGGGAGGGAAGGGGTGCGGTCCAGAAGACCTGGACCGGCTTGAGATGTTGGCCTGTGCAAACCTCCTGAAGTTCAACAAAGCCAAGTGAAAGGCCCTGCACACGGATCGAGGAAATACCAAGCACAAATACTGGCAAGGAGGCTCTCTCCAACCAACCCAGGAACCCGGGAGGAACCCGTCGTTTTACCAGGGGAGGAACTCTTTTGGGTACTCCTCTGATTGGGATTGGAGAAGAGGGGAGAATGAAACATGACTCTCCTGCAAAGCTGATGCCCGCTGTCTTTAATGAGAAAGTCAAATCCAGATGGGAAAGACGAGAGCTTAAGCAATGCAATTTGGAGGCTGAATAAAGCTCAGAAGAGCGCTGCCATCGGAAGGAAAACCTCCATGGCTGGGATGCTTTTTTTCCCGTTCCCCTCCAAGGCTCTGGCAGTCATGTATCACCTAGACCCATTGCTACGGAAGGAAGGGGGCGGTATTACATGGGGAGCGTAAGGTAAATCAGAGCAAGAGGGGCAAAGAGAGAGGCTTCCTTGGGAAGAGACGGAAGGCCAGCGCAGGCCCCTTCCTCCAGGTGGAGCGGTGGGAGCTCGGTTCCTCTGCAGACCAAGGCCACGCTCTCAGGGCTGGCTCCAGGGATTTCCTGGAGCCTCCTGGCGCTCGGCCACGGGCAGGCAACCCACGGGCTTCAGCACAAGAGATTGCCCCGTCCCAGGGCCCCGCAGAGCCCGCGGCCCAGACCGGACCACCCGAAGCCTCCCAGCCCCAGGGAGCCCCCAGAAGCGATGGGCACACTGCCAGCACTGAGAGAGCTCCCCACAGCAGCCGACACGGTGGACCCCACGGCTGTGCTCTGAGGGAAGGAGCTGAGGATTGGGCCCGGCAGCGTCACCATCACTGGCGAGGGCTGGATCGTAACGCTGGAGTCGGCGCACCGGATGACGCACGGCTCATTGCAGCTGTTGGCAAGCGGAGTTGGGCCGCAGGCGGTTGGCAGGCACGGGCTGTAGCACGACATGTCTCGCGGAGGGAGGCCACCCTGCAAGACCGGGAGGGAGCAGGGGGCATTAGCTTCTGGGCCCTTTCAGACCCCCAGCTTGGCTCCTCTGACAACAAACCAGTGCCTGGGTAGGGCCACATCTCCCTGGGATGTTCCTTTATGTGCCAAGAGTGACCAAGGCCACTCGCTGTATCGTGGATGGGGGAGGAAGCACCTGGTGAGTGATTCGACGGTACTAGACGTCCAGCCTCAGGCTTCAGCAGGACCACTGCTACAAAGGAGCCCAGCTGACTCCCTCTCAGAAGGGAACAAAGCTCTCCCTCTTCCCTCACCAGCTCACCTCCCAGAAGAGGGAAGCACAGTGTCTTTTCAAGCCTGGACCCCGTATCAGAAGGATCATGCCCAGAAGGGAAGCAGTCCCATTGACAGAAATCCTGACAGCAGGAGGAGAAGGAGTGAGTTCAGACTTACCAAGTTCACCGTGGAGAGCAAGGGAAGAGATGTGGCTAGAAGGGCCTGGAGTGGCACAGGCTTTTTATATGGTGAACCAGCGCCTCAGGAGACCTGAGACATCCCTTCTGTGTGAAGCACGTTGACAAACACCAATTTGAGGCTTGCAAAGCACAGCCGAGAGATGAAGAACTTGTCTCTTTCATCTGAAAGGCCTGGCCTGCATTTCCCTATTGGGTGAGAGCACAGAGATTCAATGAGATGCTGGCTTCTCAAAGCAACGGTCATTTGAGGTCCCATGCCAGTTCTGAGGAAAGGGCTTCAGTAGCCCCAGGCCCTGTGTGTGGCTTGTGCACATCCTTGCTGGGGAACGTGACTACCAATCTCAGTCAGTCCTTCAGCTGTGGAGCACTGCTGATGAAGGCTGCTCACATGGGTCTCCTGTTGAAGGGCTGAGGCTGACCCTGAGAAACACAAGGCCTCGCAGGGCCACGGAAGGGCTCAGCAATCAGCCAAGCCCGGCTGGATGCCTGTCTGGCCAAGGGAGACGGAAGGGAGAGGACTCAGATCCCCAGAGGTGTTTGGAAAGCGAAGGCCAAAGAAGGACTCTCTGTGAGGTGGAGAGAACTGCCACTCTGTGAAGGGATGGGGGCACTGGTAACGTGCCTACAGGGGCCAGTAGCTCTGTAGTAGCCTCAAGGAACAGGAAAAAGAAAAAGAAAGGAAAAGGAAAACAAAAAGGAAAAGAAAACCAAAGGGAAAAAAGAACAAGAAAAAGTGGAAAAGATAAAGAGGAAAAGGAGAAAGGGAAAAAGAAACAGGTGCTGTTCCATAGAAATCTGTCAATTCTCATTCTCAGAATTCTCATTCTCAAAGTGGGTAGTAAGCCCCAAGGGTGCAAGGTCAAAATGTCTGAGGAGTAAGCTCACAGGCATTTGACTGAGGGTGCTTTTGGCTTTCGGTTGCCTTGCCAGCCCTGGGAAGGACGTGTCCTCTTGTGGCTGCAGTTCGAGGCAGAAGGCATCTTGTGGAGCAAGGATGGGCAGGCGCTGTCCGCTTCCTGCCCTCCGGTGTTACCACACGCCTGCTGTGGTAGGTGGATACATGTGCCCTCTCCCGCTTCCCCAGTTTTTCTCGGATGCAGCAAATGCCAGGCTCCTCGTGCGGTAGAGGAATGCCTCCCCACCCTTCCCGCATCCAGCCACAGGAGCACAATGGCAGACCAAGGAGGAGAGCAGCCCAGCGATGATGCCCACTGCCTGCTGTAGCGGAGCTAAGACAGGCTGTGTCATGTTCCTGTGTGGTGGCAAAGGAGTCTACGTTAGGAGCAGAGTGTCTGTCCTGGCATCTGATCCTCTCTGCACAACCTCTCAATTGCCACAAGGCAGAGCAGAGAGGGAGGAGCAGCAACGCTGTACTCAACTTCCCTCCGTACCCACCACGGCCTTTGGCATTTTCTGGTGCTCGTCACTATTTTGAGCGCTCATCCATTAGTGCACTGGCCAGGAGCGGAACAGCCACAAGGCAGGTCGTCCCATTTGGGCAGTTTCCCTCGAGGCTGGTTCCTGCTGGCCACTTCCCCTGTGGAGATTGCTGTGGGCAACGCGTTCCCCTTCTGTGGGTCTCGGCCATGTCTCAATGAGCCACATCTCAGGGCTCTGGGGGCCAGAAGAGATAGGCAACCACTTCCGTCCTCTTCAGTTGAGGACACGCTGGGGGTCGACTGCCTCGCAAGTTCCCCAGGGAGCCTCAGAGCCCTCAGGAGGGAGGGTCACTGCCTGCTTTGCCAGTGCATTTCCCGTTGCATAGGGAAGAGGCACGGGTGGCTGCCTCCCACCCTGGTAGCCTACTGACTCCTGGGACCTGTTTCTGCATGTACAGCAACCTCAGTCCGGTGGTCTGTCACACCCATCTGCCAAAAAAGCAGGCTCCCAGGCCGCGGACACATAGGGGCAACAACTTTCCTCGCGTTGATCCGTGCTCCCAGAAATGTCTGGCGGTGGGAACGTCAGGGCATATCCGTGCTGTTCTCCCTTGGCTACTGCTTCACCAAGGAGCATGACAGGATTTCAAGGAGTCACCAAGTGGTCAGGCAAGACGCTAGCAGCCGTGACAACACTGTACAAAAAACTGCATTTCTGCAGGGATGCGGACACAAAGTTGCACGTAGGGCCCTCTGCACACCGGAACTCATTTCCTCCAGAGCCCCTGATGCCTGTGCATGCATGATCCGCACCAAGGTGGATCCAAGGTCTCTCATAGCGCCTCAGCACTTTTTGGTGAGGCACGGGTGGCTCCGAGGTGGTCTGCTGGTGTGACCTTGCAATTAAAGGGCCCTGAATGTGCCAATCCGTCCCTGAGCCAGGGAAAACAAGCCAGACCCTCTGCGTCAGTGACCTGAACAAGCCACGTGGCAACAATGCACAGATGAGTTTTGTTTGGGAAGATTGTGCTGAAGCAAGCACGTCCACTCTCTGTCAGGCATGAGTCAGCAGGCTCCTTCATCACACTCCAGGGCTGTTGCTTCTCCTCAGGAGAGTAATGAGCAAAGTCCTGGCAGGCAAGGCAAGGGCTGTGCAGTTCCCCAAAAAAGACACTCTGGCCTTTCCTGACTGAAGACAACAGCTGAACTGCTAGGCTCCCTTTACAAGTCTGGAAAGCGTGTGCACCACCGAGGCCCGAGGGGAGCAGAGATCTGCCTCCGAGTAGCCTGATCTACTCCAGCACTAGCCTCGGTGTCCCCACCCCTGCACACAACAGGGTTTCTCTCCAGACCGCAGGAGGGCCTTGTCTGACCATCACCTTTGAATCACCCCAGGGACGTGAGTCTCCTCCGTTCTTTGTCCCTCAGCAGAACAGCCATCCCGCAGAGGCTTGGCTGGGCTCCGAGCCAATCCACAGGCGGCAGGCACTGCTGTTGCTCAGGGTCAGCCTCAGCCCGTGCAAGAGACACTTGTCTGAGTGGCCTTCAGGCGTGCTCCACAGGCAAAGTCCTATGTCAGCGGTGGCCATGTTCCCCAGGAAGGGCAGGACACGTACAACGCCTACTTGTGGCCTGAATCTGCTGCAAGGCTTCACCGGCAACTGGAGTGAGACCTCAAATGAGCGTGGGTCTGGGCAAGAAACATAATTGCTATCAGCAAAACCACGTCAGTCCTACCCAGGATGAAAAAGGAGCCAAGCATCTCAGGCAAAGGAGGCATGCCTGTCATCTCCCAGCAGAGCTCTGAGAAGCCAAAATTGCTGTTTCTCAGCCTGCTTCGTGTTTGTGTCATTGTTCAGCTCCCCCGGGGCTCTGGGCCACGGTATAAAAGTGTGCCCAACTCCCAGCTCCTCTACCGTCTCCTCACGCCTTCCTCTGCTCTGTGAAGTTGGTAAGTGTCAGTTCATTTTGCCCCGTGTCTCCTCAGTTGGCAAGACAGTTTTCGTGGGAGAGGGCTGCATGCATTTGTCCTCCCTTGTCCTCGGAGAATGGTCTAGGGTGCGAAACAGGGCATCGGTTGGTTTCTCTGCCAGCCGTGGTTCCTTCCGAGGCTCGTGGCACGTATGGCCAGCACTCTCTTAACCAACGACCAGGCACTTCCTCCACCATCCGCAGTTCAGCAATGCTCCTTTTGCATTATTGGCATGACGAGAAGCTTCCTCAGGAGAGCTAGTGCCACCACAGACGTCTTGTTCCATAGTGGCTGCTGTCTTCAGGAACCCTGTTGCGTTTCACTCAGACATGTGCCCTCCTGTGTGGATGAGTGGATGAGAGGAGCCTGACCTGACAAGACCAGGGGTCTTGAGGGTGGGGGCGGGGAGAAGGAGACCTATTTGTCTGAGTGAACAAATTGATGCTGGTACGAGGGCTGATGATCGGGGAGTACACAGCCCGATGCCGGGAAGAGGGAGCCTCTTGGTCTGCAGTAGAAAATCTTTCCCTGACTAAGTCCACGGCATCAAGGCTATGCTCAAGCCGTCTGGAAAACCTGGCATCCATTTCCTCATACCGGGATGGGGCTTACGGAGGACTCTCTCTGCGGCGCCTTCCCTACTAAATTGTGAAGGCTGAGCAGAAGGGTTGCTGTGAAATATCCTCGCAGCTTGCAGGCGTACCCTTGGTAACGGAGCAACCAACCGGAGGTAGCTGAGTACCTCCATGGGGCAAGCATGCCTGGGTGTGCCAAGGCCGGCTGATATATAGGCCGTGAAGGAGCTCGGCTTGGACAGGGGGACCTTCCTTGCGTTTGCATGGAGCCTCTCGGATCACCCTTCAATTACAAGCAAATACCCAGCTCAGGCCCACCAAAATGCACGGAAAGGCCCTCTCTGCAGACACTGGAGGTCCATCAACTCTTGGGCAATGCCACTGCTTCCGCCTTTGAGAACGTTTACCAAGCGTGTCCCTGCATTTCATGGGGGCATTGCAAGTAACTCAGGCCAGGTTCAACCAGGTCCCCGTGGATGAGACACGCCAGGCAGGTGAGAGAAGAGGTCTTCAGATACGGCAGGGTGTGACCAGGCAGCAAGGGGTTTTGGGCAAGGGAGAGGAGGGTGCCTCATGGTGTTCTGCCAAAAGCACGGCAGGGCAGGATTGCAGGCCCTCCTGTTGGACACAGCTTTCTTGACTCGTGTCTCATGCCAAAATCACTCTCTGCTGAGCTCCCAGGCACTGGTTTGTTGTCAGAGGAGCCAAGCTGGGGGTCTGAAAGGCCCCAGCAGCTAATGCCCCCTGCTCCCTCCCGGTCTTGCAGGGTGGCCTCCCTCCGTGAGACATGTCGTGCTACAGCCCGTGCCTGCCAACCGCCTGCGGCCCAACCCCGCTTGCTAACAGCTGCAACGAGCCGTGCGTCATCCGGTGCGCCGACTCCAGCGTTACGATCCAGCCCTCACCAGTGATGGTGACGCTGCCGGGCCCAGTCCTCAGCTCCTTCCCTCAGAGCACAGCTGTGGGGTCCACCGTGTCGGCTGCCGTGGGGAGCTCTCTCAGTGCTGGCAGTGTGCCCATCGCTTCTGGGGGCTCCCTGGGGCTGGGAGGCTTCGGGTGGTCCGGTCTGGGCCGCGGGCTCTGCGGGGCCCTGGGACGGGGCAATCTCTTGTGCTGAAGC